GCATCCTCCTTCTGTTCTGAAATGTGATTTGTCCTTTTCATATGTGTTCATTTTTTTAAATTGTATCTTTTGGTATATATGGTTGTGACTATTTTCTTCCACTATTTGATCTGAGGAAGTGGGTCTGGCCCACAAAAGCTCATCATCTAATAAACCATCTTGTTAGTCTTTAAAGTGCTACATAGTCCTGTATTTTGCTTCAGCTACACCAGACTAACACGGCTACATTTCTATTACTATTCTTAGCTGGTACCTTACTTTAAAAAATGATTCAATTAAATCTAAAGAAAGTTCATAAAAGATTGATTAAGTTGGATCTTCTTTTTCTATTCACGTGTTTCTGAAAATAAATTCAGATTGTCACATTCTGTGAAACAGTATATGTTGTTGTTACTTTTCATATAGTGGAAGAAATTGGCCTTATTCCACAAGGAGAAAAGAGTGGAAATGCTGAAAAACTAGCCAGATACATTTGTGCAAGTAAGTATGCAGAAATCTTTCAATTAAGGGAAATTTATTTTAAACTTGCTTCAAAGCCTACCATAGACAATCTGAATATAGTGCATGTAGAGGTTTTCAGTAGAATCCTGAAACTCCATTTATTGGAATGCTTCAGATGTCACCAAAACGTAAAAAGGTTTGTGCTATACAGTATCCAAACAGTATAGTAGTTTATATGGAATAAACTGTACATTTTAATAATAAAATACATATATTATGGTTCAGACAAAGTGGCATTTATTAGTTCAGTTAGCCATGATATTTGTAATGTAATGAAAGCCAGAGCTGCAGCTATAGCCTGTTTTTGTATCTTGATGCAACTGATATTCTGTGTCCCTTGACACTGACTTTCCTTGCTTCAGGATGAGACTTAACCCCAAACCAAATAAGGTTGATCTGTTCCCTAAATCCATTGAATACTGAGTTAGTCTCTCCTTGCAGGTATCAGAATATTAAGGAAACAGCATTACACAGTCTCAAAGAGACAGAGAAAGTGCAGGTTTAGGGAGATATCTGGCCTATAAAAGGCAATTCTACAGTTGAATGCTTTCTGCTGCAAACAAATAGGGTAAAAAAGAAAAGCTTGGTTTTAAGGACGTAGGCAGTGTCCGTCAATAGAACAGAGTGACCCAAGTATTTGAAAAGCCATTTTATCTAACCAATAAAATGAAAATTGTCCACCAGAAGCCACATGCAAAAATGCAGATGGTGATAAAAGCAGTTATTCTAGCTGTTCGGTGAATTATTATAGCTGCTGTCTTCAATACTTTATTACTTGACCCTATTTCATCATTCAGCTAGAAGATACACGTAGTCAGCAAAGTGCTCAGATACTAACTATAATGATGGATCAGGTCAGAACCTAGATAGGATTATGTTTTGGCCATTGGACATAACATTTGTTATGGGGAGAGGGTTGTTATTATTACAGTCTTTATGTATAATAGAGATTTGTATATTTAAATGAAAAAGTAGAATTAGTACAGCCACATTTTTTTATTAATGGAGAGGTTGCATGATTTCTTTTAAAAAAATGAATAAGCAAAATTGGATCATCTTAATAATCAAGAATGAAAACTGCTAACTTAAATGAAAAAATTACGCAAATGAAAAATATAGTCTTGACATAAAGGCAAGACTGCAGAGGCATAAAAGAACAATTCACAATCCCTGTCATAAAGATCATATAAAACAGAAGGTTTTCTCTGATTTTTTTTAATGTGGGTAACTGTGTAATTTTGGGATAAAGGTTAGTATTTAGGGGTTTTGCAGAAAAGGTATATTTTGAGGAGGATTTGAAAGAAGAGAGAACAGATGTCTGAGCTATGTAATCTCTTGATTTCCCCCTCTCCCCCTCCTTCCCCCAACACACACATTCTCAGAAAAAAAATGTAATACCAAGGATTACTTTCCAGTGAATGGAATTGTTACATTTTTAGGAAATCCGATAATAAGAAAAGACATGAATTGTGCTAAAGAAAAATGACCTTTAAGAGCTCTGTTGATTGCTCCAAGACAGTTCTGTATTATGGAAGTGGAAGTCTTTATCTGATCCAAATAAATGACTGTACTGTTGCAGTGACTACAACAGCAGCCCTGGAAAAAAATAGAGGATTACCTACTTTGCAGGTTCAAAAGTAATGAAAAGCATGGAGGGCAAACTGGCCCCTTGTTTCAAATCAAATCTTTTTTGTTTTGTTTTGTTTTAGTGCTTCTTATTTTACTTTTAGGGGGATAACTTGTCCCCATCTGGGTTTGTGTATTAAAAGCACTGGCCACTCCCTGATAAGCTTAATTTCACTGCCCTTCTCCTTAAAAAGTTATGTAAGTACCTTGTCTTCCCCTACATGTGTTCTCCATGGTTTGGACAGACAGTGGTCTTCTGGTAAAATATATCCCAGCTCTTATTGTTCACTCTGCTTGAGCCAGCAAGGAGGGAGCTGGTGCTGATGTAGGCAGCCAAATAAGGAACAGTACCTTCTGGTGAGAACAAGGGGAATTACATCCAACAGCATCCTCTGGAAGCCACCAGCCAGACAGCAGGATCTTCACCCTTAATAGCAATTTGAGAAAAATTTCTGGGCTGAGGGCAGCTTCTTTTTAGATCACAGGCAACATTTTAGATTAATATAGAATTTCAGGACTCTCAGGGCATGACTACACTGCAGCATTATTTTGAAATAACATAGTCCGCGTCTACATAGCAGGCAGTTATTTTGGAATAATGTTGAAATACTGTCAAGCTGGAGGACTTCTTACTCCGACTCCTGTAACCCTAATTGTACGAGGAGTAAGAGAAGTCAGAGAAAGAATGCTCTATTTCAAAATAAGTGCAGTTTAGATGTTCCTAGTTTCAAAATAAGGTGTTTTGAAGTAGGCTACACCATTGACATAGCTCAATTTGCGTAGCTAATTTTGAGTTAGGCCTTGCTGTGTAGATGCATCCTCAGTGTAATTCCAAGAAATGCAATCCTGAGTGTATCACAGCAATACAGAAAATTTCAATCAGTAGGGACTTCTGTTGTGGATACGAACATAATCAAATTCGGACTTGTCACTTTGGGGATTAAGAGGAACAATCAATATATCAAATTATTTATAACAATATCTCAAGTAAGAGATAAATTATAATAATATCCTGAATTAATGTTTTCCATTATGCACTTATCGATCAGCCATTTCTTTTTGCTTATACATCAAATTAAAAATAAGGAATTAAAATGAGAAAACTAAATCTAGATGGAACAGGAAGTTGTATGTCATTAATATTTTCTGCCATCATGGAAAAAATATACTCTAGAAGTGGTGACATTTCTTTTTATTATTTACTTTCCATGTTTTTGGTGATGACTTTGGCTTAGCTAATCAGGAAAATAGATCAGTTGACTGCTTAATTAAATGTTTAGTTTTGGTCTTTTTTAAAGAAAAATCCTTTTAACTTAATTAGAATTTAATGTCTTTGTAGTGTTGATTATGTAAGTTAGAGGATGCTTTTGGGGCCCGTGCTTGTTACATTGTATATTGATACAAAGCTATTGAACTATTAATCTTTGCTTTGTAAACACAAGTCAAAAAGGATTAGTGTTACTTTCTAGATATCACATTGGCATTTCAGTTAACTGACATGAGCTTTGGTTGGGCCAATATTAATTTATTTTGTCTTTATCTCACAGAATGCTTTTCTGCTTTTTATCTCAATTTGTTGTCGTTTCCTGTAATTTATTACTAACATGTCTCTGTGTCCTAATAAAACTTCAGATTGCAATTAGGATATTCAGATCAATCTGTGTTGACTGCTAAGAAGGTCCTTCACTTAGATTTTTACTATAGTGTCTGTTTTTTCCCTGAAGGCAACTTTGGTGCTTAATTCTGAAAACCAAAAATCTCCTTTCAGTGCTTAAAATAAACAACCCAGTCTGTGGTTTATTGTTCTGAAAGACTCCTGGAAAAACTCTTTAAGAGGAAATTGAATTATCAATTAATACATTTTGAAAGACCCCACTTATTTAAAAAAGAATAATATAATTGTACTGAATTTTGGCTCAGACCTTTGTGTGCCTTAAAATATATTTTACACTAAGGGTATGTCTATACTGCCACACTATTTCGAAATAACTAGTGTTATTTCGAAATAACTTAGTCCGCGTCTACGTAACAGGCAGTTATTTCAAAATACTGTCAAGCTGGAGGACTTCTTACTCTTACTCCTGTAACTCTTATTTTATGAGGAGTAAGGGAAGTTGGAGGAAGAGTGCTCTATTTCAAAATAAGTGCTGTGTAGATGCTCCAAATTTCAAAATAAGCTATTTCGAAGTAAGCTATGCAAATTGACCTAGCTCAATTTGCATAGCTTATTTTAAGTTAAGCCCTTCTATATAGACGCACCCTAAGTATCCTATAAAAAGAAAATGTATGCACAGACTTTATTAGAATATGTCCACTGCTCAGATGTTTAGTTCTGAAAAGTCTCAAAGGGTTTCTTGTTCCATTTAGGATCAAAGAAAGATTGATTTCCATCGTTTCATTTGCTTCTGATATATACCCCCATTTCGTGAAAATATGAATTCCCATGTTGGGATCTCTTTTGGGTGGTAAAAATAACAGTTGCAAAAGCCTTTAAAAATACCTGCTACTTGAAGTTTGATTAGAATATCAAGTATGGTGTAGTATTTCAAGTTGAAATATATTTGAGGGAGCTTTGTTATTTCTTATGCTAAAAGTAGACTCAAAATATTAACTAAACATTAGCCAAACCACTGTTTTGTTTTAACAGCACACAGTGTTGGGCAGCTGCATAGAAAAAAGATTGTGAAGACTATTCATATATGCCTGTCTTCAGGTGGACCTTTAAATAAATAGTGATCCAGATTAAGGATGTTAAAGACTAGTCAACTATCTGACAAGGTGGGTGTTTCAAAGCAGCAGCTCTGCCTGAAGCCCAGGGTCAGCTGAGGACTCCCCAGCTGATCCCGGGCTCCGCGCAGCATTTCCACAGAATCCAGGATCAGCTCGGGAGTCCCTAGCTAACCCCGAGTTCTGGGGAAATGCCGTGCAGAACTCGCGATCAGCTGCGGAGTCCTCAGCTGATTCCAAGTTCCGCTGAAATGCTGAGTGGAGCCGGAATCAGCTGGAGAGTCCCCAGCTGACTCCGGGCTCTGCGTGTCATTTCAAATCGGCAGCACAACAAGGAGCCCAGGGTCAGTGGGGGCCTCTGTGAGAGCGCTTCCACTTTGAAATGCACAAGAGCTCCCGCTGGGGACGCTTGTGCATTAAAGCTGGCATCCCACATGCAGCCTGGAGTCAGCGGGACTTCCCACTTGCCCTGGGCTGCACGCTGTGTTCCGCATTCCTCCTTTGAGCCCAGCAGGAAATTCCATCGACTACTTGACCAATAAATTAACCGCAATTTACATCCTTAGTCCAGCTTGGCATCTAAAGAATTAGATGGCATTGTTTTTCTCCCTCCATCATCCCCCCCTCACCATCTAGCTCAATGAGGTCCTGATCCTGATTGGTGCTAACATTTTACAGGTAAATGTAATCATATCCTTCCTTCCTGTATTATCTTTCACCCTTATTTTCTAAGTATACAATAATAATAATTATTGCAAGAATTTTCTGAAGCAATGGCCTAAATTAATAATTTTAAAAATCCCTAAAATCCAGCAAAAGAGTTAACACACTCCCAAAATATAGTTAGTGCTATTGCATTCCCATCCAATGGGGTGCTTCAGTTCGCAAACACTGCAGTCATTCTTGTTGGAATTAGGGTCTTCATTTCCATGACTGCCATATTAAATAGGGTATATAGATACAGAGATTCCAGTGATAGACCCCTTTAAAAATGCCAAAATAGAAATCTGAAATACCATCCCCACAGCTGTCATTAGGATTTATGGGGCCCTATGCAGTACTATTAAATTGGCGTCCATATTTCCCCAGGCATCTAGGAGTGGGTCATTTTTTAGAGATGAGGTTTTATATCTTCAGCAAAACACTAATGAGTTATTTTAAAGCAAATTTTAAACTAAGGACCTGTAGACTGACACAATAAATTCAAAAGTTGACAGTACAGGTTGGACCTTTCTGGTACAGCTTTCTGAACATTCCCAACTGGTCCTGAATGAGGGAATTTGCTAGACCAGGGGAGGTCCCCTGCTACCAGCCCCCCAACCCACTGCCCCTCCCTACTTCTGGTCCCATCTGCCCACCCCCCTGCTGAGCTGCTGTGCTGCTTTAGCCCCAGCACCCAGACTGCCGCATTCCCGGCCCCACTACCGGAGTTGCCGTATCTGCCATGTGCCTAACCCGAGCTCTACTACTAGGACTGCCACATCCCCTGCCTTGGCTCCACTGCCGGGGTTGCCGCATCCCTGGTCCCAGCCCTGCTGGGCTCTAACCCACCAAACCTCTTGCCACTGGGGCTCCCAGCGAGCACTCCCTGGTCCAGGAACATCTATGGTCCTGCCGGTCCATGGATGTTACCAGACCAAAGAGTCCCGGTTTTGGGAGATCCAACCTGGGGTTGGCAAATGCCTGTTGAATGGCTTCATTACCACTTGAATACAGGCAGTCCCCGGGTTACGTACAAGATAGGGACTGTAGGTTTGTTCTTAAGTTGAATCTGTATGTAAGTCGGAACTGGCGTCCAGATTCAGCCGCTGCTGAAACTGATCAGCTTCAACAGTGGCTGAATCTGGGCGCCAGTTCTGACTTACATACAAATTCAACTTAAGAACCCCAGGCATCCCCAAGTCAGCTGCTGCTGAAACTGATCAGCGGCTGATTCCAGGAAGCCCGGGGCAGGGGCTTCCTGT